TCTGCTCACAAAATGCAGGAAATTATTTGTTATCAAAGTGAAAAATAAATAGAACGGCCTAGCAACAAGTAAAATGAATATTTCGTGCGCCCAAACAAATAATAGAATGAGTAATCTCCCCTGTCGCTATTGCGAATTTGCAATTGATCTAACAAATACAAAAAAAAAAATCACCAAAAACGTTTACAATGATTCAAATCAATATAAAACATATAAAAATAAAGTTTAAAAAAAAAAGTTAGAAATAATCCTTTAAAAACCTTTAGTTGTGATGTTTGTAAAATATACTATAGCCTCTTGTAGAACAGTGTTTGATGATTATATATTACCTTCAAATACTGTTACGACACTAAATGGATATATGAAAGGAGATGTGGTGGTATATACTTAACGTCACTTACAATGTACATCCGGAGATAAGTAATCTCCAATTAAAAAATTAAAAAAATTAAGACACCTTATAAATCGGAAATTATATCTTTACGATACATATCAGTACTAAAAACGTCGTACTAGATGGGGATTAAGGGACGTAGAGGGCGAACGCTCGCCTTTTTTTAATCGAAAAATTATTAGTCTTTAGCATAAATCTTGTTTTCTTCTTCTTTCAATACATTGCTATCCTCTAAATGAGTATTATAAAAACTGGTTCACCAAAGATATGTTCGCGCTTTTACCCATGCTGGGTGTGAGAACAAAGGTGCAAGAAAATATTTGCATACGCAAGTTATATATAAGGGCAGTCTGATGTTGCGATTATGGATTATTGCAGCTCTGTTTCCTCCGCTTGAAAGCATCTAGGGAGGTACTATCCATCAAAAGTTGTGGAAAGTGCCTGTATGTTGATGTTCAAGGAATCGTGCGGTGTGTACTCTAGCTACAGATGGATCGATGATGTAGTATACAGCTCTAGGGGTGTAATAAACTGACAACGCCATGGCTGAAAAGAAAAGACAAACAGGCAAACAGCAATACACAAAACACAACATAGAAAACCAAAGACTGAGCAAAACCTTGGGGTGATCTCAGGTGCTCCGGAAGGGTAAGCAGATCCTGCTCCACATGTGGCACCCGTCGTGTTGCTCATGTAACGATATGTTCATTGAAGACGAGTATAATTTTATTTTTATATGTAGAAAATGATATTGGTAGAAAATATATTAAAAGACTGCTATTGGCCACAAGGGTCTATATTGGGACCAACACTATTTAATATTTTCTTAAAAGATATTTTCTACTTTATTCATAAAAGTGAACTATATAATACGTAAAAAAAAGCATCCAAACAGCAGAATGTATTGATAAGAATTCAATGTCATGTTTATCTTCATGATTTGTTGCACTTAAAGGCCTTCGGAAATTTCTTTCTCTTTTAGATACCAGAATACAGTAGACTGACTACCACACGTGAGAACAACAGCATATGACCTATGCAATTAATAAGGTATGCGGGTGCTAAACTTTGGATTGAGCTGTTAGATGAGCTTCCGTTACGCATCATCTTTCAATCAATTCAAAAACTTGATAAATGTTTGGACTGGCAGCTCATGCTAATGTTGCGCTTGAAACCCCAGGTCCTGTTCTTTGTCTTTAGTCAAGTTAATAATTTATTTTGAGCATGGCAAAGCATGACCAGTTTGTTAACGTATAGTGCGTTGCCTTTTTTTGCTTATTTCATTTATTTAACTAATCTCTATGGTTTTTTTATGTTTGACACCATGTTACTTTTGCTTTTGGGTATTTACCCCACTAGTCCATTCTTCAATATGTGTGTATTTGTCGCTGCTTGATTGAACTTTTGTGTTTAATGTATGTAACTATAAACGTCTTTGTTTTCATACACATTAACTTTAAACTGACAGCTTTTTTATGTGTTACGAATATTTTTTTCTGTAAATATTAATTTGACGGAATGTAACTACATATGAACAGCCTCTATACAAATGTTAAAAACCGCCCATTTGAAAAAAACTGAAATTATTCAATTGAGAAAACTAACAATCTAAGTTATAACAAAACAATTTACGAAAAACAAATATGACAGACATGAACCAACGACAACCACTGATTTACAGGCTCCTGACTTGGGACAGACACATAAAGAATTTGGCCGGGTTGAACATTTTTGTGAGCACTCAACCCTCCCCTAACCCGAGACAGTAGTGTTACAGCACAAAATAAGACCAAACTGTAAAATTCAGTTGAAAAGGAAAAGGGCTTAACTCATCAGATCGATATAAAGCAGAAAAACATCTTACAAAAACACAGACCGGACGTGGCAGGGTATTTATACATCCCTAACAACAAAAAAGACACATAACTTACAGATCTGAGAGTACTCCCAGTTACTGACAGATAGTCCAAAGCCAATTATGTGTATAACAATATTATCTAGTATGGTTTTAATTTACTGATAAAATCAATATTTATATCAATAAAAACAATATTCAAAGATCTAATTACAGTGCTGAATTGGGAACCTTTTATCTATGGAAGAATTTAGTAAAGGTTTTAAGTAAAATGTGATAACGAAATCCCTGACTTAATAATTTACCAGTAATACATAGATCGCGCTCATTGAAATCCAAAATGTCACTACAGACACGGGCATAGCGAACGAGTTGTGATATATAAACATCGTAAGACGGTGCCAAAGGAACATCGCCGTCCAAAAAAAGGAAAATTAACAATAGGGAAAGAAAAAACACCCCTTGTGTCGTAAGTTTTTGAGTAGAGTTTCAGGTGTAAAACTGAAATGTCCAAATCTAGGAAAGGACAGTTATTGCTGTTAATATTTGATTTATTTAAGGTAAGTTCCTTTGGGTAAATTTCGGCAATATGTATAGAGAATTCTTGAGTATTTAACAAAAAAAACATCGTCAAGACAACGGTAAATGTTGTTGGATTTATCAACTAAATGGAATTTAGACGAGTTTGGCCATAAACTGTTATTCGTAACAGTACAGGAACAAGTCAGCTATTAAAGGGGCACAATTGGTGCCAATAGGAATAACTACAATCTGTCGATAAACTTTATTGCCGAAACGTATATAAATGTTGTCAAGGAGAAAATTTACGGCTTAGATCATCTCATCACACCTCCAGTAAGTATATCTAGCATATTTACCTTCGTCATTTGCGTGAGAAAAGGGCTTAATTTACATGAGCTTAATTTGCAATCAGATTTACCAAACAATCTTTTAATTAAATAGGAAAACTTTTGGTGGATAAGATTGTGTGGAAGTGTAGTATAAAGAGTGGAAAAGACAAAACTGTCAACCGAATCAAAAGGACAACTAAAAGCACGTAATTAATCTAAAATATCCAAAGTTTTTTTACACTTCTAAAATGGTTAATTCCACTATTTTCATATATTTAATTACAAAATTAATGGTAAATTCTTTGATAGTAGTTAAGTAACTCGTTCAAAACACTTAAAGATAAGTAGTAGAACACTTACTAGAGGCCGAGATGAAACGATATTTTACGGGGTTTTTTGTGAATTTTAGGTAACCAATACATAGTGAGGACCTTCAAATGTTCAGAGGAGGCCTTAAGCTGAGCTGTGGTAGTGACATGATTATTTACTCTATGGCGACTCTCTGTGGAGCGCAGGGCCTTGCATGTAGTTGAATGTATAATTTCAATCTTAAGGACTTCCGTGTAGTATTTACGTCATACCCCCACCACAGTGTTGGCTGCTTTGTCGGCCGGTACGAACACAAAACGCTTTGCGAGTACTTGAATTTTGTTTTTAATCATAAAAATGGGCGTATTATTTACTCTTTTATATTTATTCCTAAATTATTTTCGAAATGTGATATTCGAATATTTATTTAAATAGGAATCAAGTGACTTTTTGTCAGATTTCTATAAAAACTTTATATATGTCATTAAGAAATCCCGTTTCAGCCTAAAGGGACATTATCTGTTAAATTTATGTTCACCGATTTGACTCAAATTATCTTATCTATTTAATGACATACTGAAACCAAAGACATATATACTCTGCTGAAACGTATATCCAAATTATAAAAATTATAAAATAAACAATTTACGATGCATGGACTCGATAATATGTATCAGCATTTCGTGTTTAGTTAAGTCTAGACGCCATCTAATTAACCATCGATGTGACCTCTGAAGACTGCCGACGGTCATATTACTCGATATAAACATACATATAGATATAGATTAATAGCAAACACGTGCAACTGGATTTTTCTAGGTCTGTTTGATTTCATATTATAGGTTAAACAATTGTTATTCATTGTTTTTACCTGTATAAGAATGAAAATTGTGGATTGAATCAGTCAACCAAATGATTTATTCTTGTTTCACTTTCAATGTTGACATTCTTTTCCTTTTAATAGCTGAACATGACTGGTTTATGCGTAACCCATCTCTAAGCTAAGGGGTTAAATAATTGAAGGTCACATGAATACGGATTCAATGAGGTCGATGATTATTCACTTGCAAGTGAATAATTTATCAGCGATGTTTCTTATCTTATTTTGAGAAAATTGAAACAAACTGCCTGCTTAAAGCGAATTATTATTTCACTACCACAAAAAAAATCCTATTAGCCTATATCTCGTAGCTAATGCCCCTTTCAAGTAAAACTCCTACAATTATCATCAGTACAAAGTTTCACCCTTACTAAAGTATCAGTAAAGTTACTGACATGAACTCTACAGATATATTTTTTTATAAATTGTTCGGTTATAATGCTGATTCGCAGACAACACTCCTTCCCTTAATAACAAATTTATACTGAACATCGCAATTAGATCGATCTTGAAGCTTAATTTGGTTTTTTAGATCTAAGAAAGATAACTCAGGGGAAATACTTTAGGTTTAGCAGGTGCATGCTTCTCATTATGATTGTTATTTTTAAGCAGTGGTGGATAAATTACGTTATCTTTTACAGAAAAGGCTCACTTTAAGGATATTTCAATCAGTTTAGAATGTCTACAAATTGTTGGACTATTTCGTTTGATATCATTCCGCACGGATAAGGGGAGACAATCAGGGTAGGTAAATTTTACCTGTTGTTTCGCAAGGTGAGCAAGTTTGATAGAAAGGTACATACAGGTGTGTATAAGTTGACTTTCACATTAACCTCATATTTGCATTTATTGTCGATTCAGCAAGACAAAATACATTTTATTTCCATTTCTTCGCAGTAAACTTCCCAACATGTTAATAAATCATTTAAGGCTAATTTGCAAATTATTTCCCGTGCTCGTGACAAGCCCACTAGCTGCACATAATTCATGTAATGCAGATAAGATTGTTTTTATATATTTGATAGCATCATGTCAATGATATCATGGTGAATTGTCGATCATTCAATGAATCTCTGGGATCACCTGAACTAGGCGATCATAAATTATACTGTCTGATGATCAGATAATTTGAAAGTTGCAGAGTTGTAAGAATTATGTCATTGGTACATGTTATATCATCAAAAGGCCAAACAGATAATAGGGCTAGTAACAATAAACCAAAGTACTGAACATCGGATGACTGCAAGTTCTGGTGGATGGTCACAAGCACTTGTCTCAGAAAAAAAAATCACATCTCTTATACCTGAAAGTTAGATTAAGGTACATAGATATATTTTTTCTGAGACAAGTTCCTGTGTGGATGATGAATAAATAACAGGGAATTCAACCTCACCGTAATAACTATTATCATGATTATATTGTAGTGGTACAATCATTTGTTATCAGTATACTCTGGTTTGTTGTTATATATTATATTAATATTTGTATAACAGTTAAATATAATTTGCATCCATTTGTATAGTATTCTATTCTACTATTCTAATGATAGTGCAGTGCATGGTGGACAGGGGCGTAGCTACCCGGAGGCACGGCAGCACGTGCATCCACGTCGTTTTCACAAAAAAAAATATAGAGAGAGAGAGAGAGTGAGGGACAAAGTTATCATATAGGAATTGGTCTTTCTATGTATGCATTTTAAAACTGCACAAAGAATAAAAGCAAGAGGAATACACATGCAGCGGAATTTTTAATCCTGTAAGACATGTATGTGTACGATTAATTAATACAACTGGTGTAAACTTAGAGGAACTTTTTATATTACGGGCATTGTTTAGAAAATACCAGCTACATAGTTGTTGGTACCACAACCATACCGTATACTCGCTTTGAGTGCAAAAAAAAACCATAATTCCTTTAAGGTTAACAAAAAAACATGAAAATTATTATTTTCCGCTTCGCCCCAAAGCACACATCTTACTAGAATGAAGACTCTTCAACTCGTATCGATCCGGGAATAATGACTGTTACCGTGTGAACTAGTTCAATATTGACTTAGTATGTAGGTCTTGACAATACGAATAGTTCATTTTCACATCACGTCAACGTATCTCGTCCTGTGTGCATGTAATATTTGCTACCGGACATTAATAACCATTCAATCAATCAATAGTTTCCGTATACTAGTAGATGAGAAGTTGGAACTGCTGTTATTGTAAAAAAAAAGTACACATTTTCCAGTACATGTTTTACGTTTTTATTTATTTTACCAAAAAAATCTTTTATATAGATTCGATAATTTGGAGGCAGACTTTTTCAACAAATTGTCGGCATTCCTATGGGAACGAACTGTGTGCCTCTCCTTGCCGACCTCTTCTTATTTTCATATGAATCGGAGTTCCTTCAGACACTTGTCAAAAACAAGAAGATCAAAGAAGCCAGATTATTTAATTTCACTTTTAGATATATTGAGGATGTTCTTTCCATTAACAATCCGAACTTTTCTGATTGGGTTCCATTAATATATCCCCCAGAACTAGAAATTAAAGAAACAACAGACACAGCTTCCTCCGCCTCATTTTTGTCGAGCCTTCGACTTTTGTCGAAAAAGCGAGACATAGCGATCCTACATTCCGTCGGCGGCGGCGGCGTCCACAAATATTCACTCTGTGGTTAAAGTTTTTGAAATTTTGATAACTTTCTTAAACTATCCTGGATTTCTACCAAACTTGGACAGAAGCTTGTTTATGATCATAAGATAATATTCAAAAGTAAATTTTGTAAAAAAAAAATTCCATTTTTTCCGTATTTTACTTATAAATGGACTTAGTTTTTCTGCCAGTTAACATTACATTCACTCTGTGGTTAAAGATTTTAAAATTTTAACAACTTTCTTAAACTATCCTGGATTTTTACCAAACTTGGACAGAAGCTTGTTTATGATTAAAAGCTAGTATCCAGAAGTAAATTTTGTAAAAAAAAAAATCCATTTTTTCCGTATTTTACTTATAAATGGACTTAGTTTTTCTTCCAGTTAACATTACATACAGTCTGCAGTTTAAGTTTTTAAAACATTTATTAGATTCATAAACTATCCTGGATTTTTACCAAACTTGGACAGAAGCTACTTACAATCAAAAGATAGTATAGAGAGGAATATTTTTATTAATTTTTTTCCTCATTTTTGCTGAGCCTGTGATTAACAGCAAAAAGTAGGCGAGACACTGGGTTCCGCGGAACCCTTATGAATTTTTAGACTTATATCTCGAATTTGACATACACAGTCATCTCAGTACCAGAATCTATGACAAACGAGACGATTTTAATTTTAAAATTATAAATTTCCCCCACCTTAGTAGCAATATACCAACTTCACCTGCATATGGGATATACATTTCCCAACTTATTCGATATTCAAGAGCTTGCAGCTCCTACTCAGACTTTGTAAAACGTCACCAGTGTCTGAGCAGAAAGTTGATGAACCAGGGGTATGTCAAAGAATGTCTCGTCCTTTTTCTAAAAAAGTTCATCGGAAGGTACCAAGACCTTGTTGATAAATATTCCGTATCAACTTCACAAATAATACATGATGGTCTTGAAGTATAGATTCTGCATACTGACGTTGTTTATCATCTTAACAACGTGTAATATTGTTCTTTCATTTGTCTTTGTTCTATTATTAATATTACTTTTACTGTTTGGTTTGTTTTCTGTGATATCCATTTGACGTGGCTAGGTACTTATACATCCCGTCAATGTGTTTGTATTATCTTTCATTTTTGCTGGTGTGTTTTGTATATGCGACTTTTTGTGTTTCTGTGGTTCTTATAACATGACTCTGTACTTTAAAAGATCCCGTCATTATGTTATTGTTCTATTATATGTCATTATGTTATTCTTCTATTGTAAATTTGAAAATACTTTGAACGACAAACGACAAATTTATTTTACTCGCGTAGTGGTATTTACCATATGTGGATTCTTAAAAAATCTAAAGAACTTTTGGACAATTTTAAATCTCGGTCTATTTCTGAAATTAATTCTAACATAACTTTTGATTTTTTAACCCTGTATACCAACATTCCCCATGTGAAATTATAAAATTGTTTTGAATAAACATTGAATGACAAACTTTTTTCTTATGTGACGTTTACATTTTCTGACGTCAGACACGCGAAGCAATGAATGTGGTTTTTAACTTGATAGATGCTTTTGTGCTTTTTTTGTAAATAATTGTTTGTTTTGATATTGTAACACAGTGATGACTGCTGTACCCATATTTTGACTATTTTATTTATAATGTCTGTTTTGTTCACGCATCGTTGTAAATATAACGGAATTTGATAAGACTGTCGTACAAGTGAGAGGTTTAGCGCTATGAAACCAGGTTCAATCCACCATTTTCTACATTTGAAAATGCCTGTACCAAGTCAGGAATATGACAGTTGTTGTCCATTCGTTTGATGTGTTTTGTCATTTGATTTTGCCATGTGATTAGGGACTTTCCGATTGAATTTTCCTCGGAGTTCAGTATTTTTGTGATTTTACTTTTTTCTATATGGGCCGGCTATACGAATGGTTGATTGTAAAACCATTTAAATACATTGTTAATTCTAACTCGTTTTACTGGACTATTAGGTCATTCAATTTTAAAAAGAACTGTCTGTCCGAGTAGGACACTAAACTGCTGATTCTTGTTCGAAAGATACACCAAACTTTTTTTACACGTATCTTCACTGTTATCATCTAGATATTGCCATACAACTGGTCGAATGCATATGCATTTGTTAATTAGCTGGCAAATTAAAAACGCAGATCATGAAAAAGATCGTGATCAAAGTACCATTTACTCTGAAAAAGTTCATTAATTTCAACTTCGAATATTCCTAACTACGTAAAATTCGAAATTCCCATCTCTCTTGTAGAGTTTACCCACAAAATTTTTAAACATCTAAATACATTGTAAGCAAAATATATGAGAATGTGTCCGCAAGTATTTGGTATCCAATGATGTTTATGCTAACAGAAACTCCACATATAGTATTGTGTTTATGTTTATTGTTTGTTTTTTTAAATCTACTTTGCTCAATACAAATACTAGCATATGGAACAAATCTCCGTGATTTTAAAAGCTTTCACGTACAAAAATGCAAGCGACAATGTTAAGTCTTCATTCGACTCGAAGTTAAACAAATAGTTTACCAAAAAACCACAACAAAAATGTCCAAGTTTTATTTCGGTTCTGATTGTTTTGAAACGTTATATATGGGGAGCTTCCGGGGGGGCTTTGCCCCCCTGGCCCCCCTACCAGGGCTTTGCCCTGGACCTACTGGGGGCCTTGGGTGGCCCCCAGACCCCTCGCCCTATAGTTTGTGATTCCACTTCATTAAGAAGGTAGCTACGCCCCTGGTGGACACTCTTCTGTAATTATAATTTGTTTTTCTAACATTGTATTTGAGTAGGCATTCATATTTTCCCGCGTTTGTTGCAAAACATTCTTGAGAAATTCTTCCACATGCGCACAATTTTTCTGTATTCTTGATTTTTGTTCTCACGAAAAAACATTTTCATATCATTTATCTATGTACTTAAAAATTATTTTATTGATAAAACTACAAGCGATAAGGAATGCTATTTTGCACTTGATAATGTCTGCGTATTTATATGATGGGTTAACCAGTCAAAAATGAAAGTAACGTGAGTAGAAATCTCTGTGGCAACAATACACCGGAATGCCCTCATGGTCATCCGATGTAAAAAAGTTAAGGTACATGTACCTAGAAATTTCTAGAAATGTAGTATACATGT